AAAAAAAAAAAAAAAAGTTGACTAATATTTATCCGGCAAGTGCCATTATAGTTGCACATCAGCTTCAGGCTGTCCGTTATCTTTTGGCTTTCTAATTGTTCTTCTTCTGCCACTTGAACTCATGATAGCTGCATAAGGACATGGTCTCGCTTATGCCTATGGGACTGACAACCACCTTGTACAAAAAGAATATGAACAAGAACAGGTACTCTGACAGCAGAGTCAGATCTACTGTGTATTGTGCAGCAAGGAAGCAAATGGCTGAAATAAGGAAAGGAGGTGGCAAGACACAAGTATTAGAGAAACAGAATAAAAAGAGAGAAAGATAGGGGGCTGCAGTAGTCAGATGGAGAGAAGGAGAAAGCTGGGACTTGAAAGTAGCATCTCAGATATCCTTTTTGTATTGCAGTTAAATTAGCTGAAAAAATAAGCATTGCCCTGAACATGATTTTGAATTGTTATAAAACAGGATGGAATCCTTCTCTGTTTGGGGACTTATTTAATCCCCTGATTCCTGTGTTCAGTTTTGCCTGTGGAGACTTTCACCTATACAAAATGATAAAAGCACATTTTTAAGGGGCAAAAGAAGGCAATTAAAACATTGGATAACGTGGCCCATGAATGTAATTGCATTATCATTGCATCTGCGACGTGGCGTTCCAGAGGACAATGTTTCTGAAGCTCATTCGATGCAGTATGTTCAGTTTATTACATAGCATCTGGTTGTATGTTTTGTCTCCACTTCCTTCCATCCCCTGCATGATCCTTCCTCCATCCACCCCATTTCTCCCAGTGGTTTCAGTGGAGTTGAAGCCACACCGCTGTCCTGCAGAACATGTTACGATTGTTTGTAAGTATCCTTTTTTTTTAAAAATGCAAGAAAATGGCAACCCACGAAAATGATTGAGCGCAAATTTAAGCTTTTGATCCCAAAAGATTCAATAATCAGAGGTGCCAAAATGTTTGCATTCGTTTTGGAAGCTGTTCCTCTTGGTTTCAGGTGTTTGACATTGGGTCTTTCAAAGAGTTTAAACAATTCTGCATTATTAGACAGTACTGTTCATCATAAAGCTAATGGATTTGGCAGTTAAGAAATGCTTGAACCTGCTTATTCAAAAATTCTGCACCCCCACAGTCCCAGTTCAGGATTGTGGGACCTCTCGGTCCTTCCAGTTTGAGTGAATGTCCAGTAAGCAACTTCTTGACTGAGTGAAATGCAACTTTGAGAATTGCTTGGTGTTTATTTTACTTTGTTCTTATTTTAAGCAAAGCCAAACCAGCTCCACAGATTTCACCTAGTAAATCCGTGGGAGGAGAGTTCTGTGTTGCTGCCGTCTTTGGATCATCGCGATCCTGGTTTGCAAATAATCCAGGCATAAAAAGAGAAAAAGGTTTGTATGTTAGAAAATGCTAAGTTTTTGGTTCTTTGCATGTAACTTGGTTAAAAAAAAAAAAGAAATTGACGGAGTTGAAGCGGCTTATACTGGACTTGTTTGACAAAAACCTGTTTTCTTAGTATTCATGGTAGATAGTTGGACCTTGTAGCCGATCTCAGTGCTGTTAGTGCTGTGCTGGTTTAGGCAATATGCACTGGAGTTGGCTTTATTGTGGCAACAGCAGACATGGCATTGAACTTCACAGCAAGCAGTTTCACAGCCTAATAGCAGCCTCATTTCAAGGCGGCTGTTGGCTGTCAAAAAATTGACTAGTAGGTGATTGATAGATTTAATCGCCCATTCTTGTGAATGGCAAGGTAATTGCTCTGTAACAAGGCATAATGAGGTGTGAATACCTGTGCACCCTCTGAATCTACATGAACTAGGTATCGTGCTTAATGTGACATAAGCAGTACCCTTAATATTGAGATCAGTGGGAGATGGCATATCGCTCATTCTAGCCGCATGATTTAAAAAGCGGACTGCATTTGCCACGGCATGTCTTAAGTCATTTGACTCTCTTTTCTGAATGGCTCCTGTGTCTGCTTGTTTAGTTCATGAATTAATTTTGCAATAGGATATTGTCTGTCAAATTTCTGGAAATCTTTACAAACCAATGGTGTCAGGGTCATATTATTCGAATGCTTCATGTTAGCTGGGATCAATTGACAATAACTTGAAAGTTGCACAATAAATCAGTTACTTTTCTGCAGTGCTGAAATGACCACAAAGGCACTTGTGAATCTGTTCATTCCCAGCATGCCTCTGCCCCTTGGCTTGGGAAAGACTCAGCTGTCGTGTTGGAGAGAGATCCACATATTAAGTGATATAGGCTGTAGCTGTGTTGGTCTAAGGACACAGGCAGACAAGGTTCTTTGGGTAAGTTAGATATCTTTTATTAGACCAACTGAAATTGTTGGAAAAATTTGGAAAAAATTCTTCTTTGCAAGCTTTTGAGTACAAATGCCTCTGGCTTTTTTACTGTTCATTGCATCCAGGAAGAGCACAGACCAACTGCAGGTGCTTCCTCAGTCTGACAAAGGGTGTTTGTACCTGAAAGCTTGCAAAGAACATTTTTCCAACTATCTGAGTTGGTCTCATAAAAGAAATGATATACTCAGCGAACCTTGCCTGCCACATTTTAAGTAACATTTGTTTTCAGAAGTACCTGCAAAAACATGAACTTGGCCGTATGTAACCCCTCAACACATGACATTGGCAGTGCCTGACCACCCAAACCCACTCCATTCTGGGATATGGTTTTCAAAGCCATAGATGGTAGTTGTAAATGCCAGGGAAGAAACAAGCATGCTCTATGCTTTTCTTCTCAACCTCTCCAGCGTTTCCCTGCATGATAGTAAAGGTTACACTGTACCACACATTCATAAAGAAGACAAATCATTTTTTTTAAATGCAGCAAATCTACTGGAACTATAAATGTTTCCTATAATTCTACTCTGCCATTGTAATAATAAATGTTTTCTGTGTCTTGTTTTGAACAGATCAATCGAAGCAATTTGTAGTAGAATCACTGTATATTATCAGCTGTTACGGTACCCTGGTGGAGCATGTCTTGGAACCACGTCCGCTCAGCACTGCTCCAAAGATCAGCGATGATACTCCTTTGGAAATGATGACTTGCCCAAGAGCCAGCTGGACACTGGTTAGGTAGCTCATCCCCTGGAATTTTGTTCTGCTTTTTGTCCTCGTGTTTAATTCAGACCTTTATCTTGTAAAGAGCCGAGCTATTCTTGGAGGGCATGAATGAGCTGTGACATCAACCCTTATTGACTTCAGTAAGAACGGAAGGTGCATGCTAATGTCCAGGTAGTGTGGAGCACCCATCAGGGCTGTAACCTTGCTAAGGACCAAATTCACGTCTTTGGCAATCCAGTGCTAAGCTCCCGTAGACTTCGTTAACACCAGGACTTCTAAAGAGCATAAAACTCCCACTTCCCTCTCTTAACAAACACATTTTATGCACAAGTTGAAAGTTAGCAGTTGACACGTATGGGAATCGATATATATTGGTGATTTAAAATAATCAAACGATAATTTCGCTTATTTTTAAAACTAAAATAAGGATACTCTTGTTAAAGAAATGGTGAAGTTATGCACTGAAATGTGTGACTGGAGCCTGTGACACGGAGTAAGACATCCTATAAGTAGCTGAAGGCGGCATCTTATCAAGGATTGCTGAAGAAATTGCTCCTGACTTGTGGAATAAAACAAACAGAAATTGATGAGACGATATTGTCCGTCCTTTTGACATTTTAAAATATTTTTCCATCGATTTTTGTAGGCTCCGATATTCTTTAGTGCTACTCATTCCTGGACTGGACTAATCAATACTTGATTTACCAAGCTATTTAGGAGTGGCCAACCCTAATTAAAATTACAACACAGTCTTCAAGACTATTATTGTTGAAAAGAGCAGGTTGTAATGGAATTGCAAATTCTAATTGGATCAATAGTCCATAACTTTACACAGCACTATTTCACAGTTTTGTAAATGCTCTGTTTCCTTTGCAGAACAGTAGCAACAATGGTATAACAAAGGTGCCCAGGTTCTGTTGTGTTTAATATTAAACGGCGCTAGCGCAACATACAGTAGTTCTAACATTCATTTACTAATGCATTCTGAATTGCCTTGATTGCTTTTTGTGTTCAGTATACAATGAAAGGAAAAAAGGTCTTGTCCTTTCTTCACCGTCCCTGTAAATTGGTCACACTTTTCAACTGACTGTGTTTGTATTTCAGTGTATGAGCAAGCTTATTTAAATAATTATAAACATTGTACAAGCTTGTCTAAATAATTGTATGTGATGACACAGGCACTGATTTACATTCTCTGTAATAGCTTAAATGTTAATAGTTTTGTGTTTTTTTCCCCAGAACTCCTCAGTGGAATGAACTGCAACCACCATTTAATGCAAACCACCCATTGCTCCTAGCTGCAGATGCAGTACAGTACTATCAGTATCTGCTCGCTGGCTGTGAGTAGCTAAGAACTTGATCTTGTTTTTTTGGTGTGAATTTAATTTAAAATAGTTATTTCCAAAAACAGTTTCTTAACCTACAATCGTAAAACAAGATACACTGGTTACCAGGGCCTTTTCTTAGGACCATTTTGCAAATACCAGTGACTGCAGGTTTTGTATTCTCCAAAGCATGAATGAAATGGGGAGAAAATTTAGAGTCTTCCCAAGATGAAAACTGTAGCCAATACATCTTAGAAATGTAGTGGCGGTGATTGTGTTGACATTTCTATTCTGAATTCTTGTTCTAATGAAAATAGGCATTTAATACCCAGCCTTAAAAAATTGCTGCAGGTTAAAACGTGGCATAAAAATGATGCCAGGGCTGCGGAGCCCCATGCACCTGTTTGTAGTCTCCCAGCTGGGCTCCAGGCGGCTGCTGGCAGAAGCTGCCCAAAGTCCAGGTCAGCTGTGGCACGCCGAGGAAAATGGCCACGCATACTGGGAGCTACCGGTATCCCTGGGCTAGTGGGTCTTTTATTATTTTTTTAATTATTGAGTTTTTTAGAATTAAATCTTGCATGTAATTTTGTAGCCCAAGTTTCTGATACAGACTAATGACTTCCAATTGAGTCTTTAAAATGCCTGCATATTTTAAAATGTAAGTTGAATTTTTACTCATTTTGCTTCTCCACATAGGAGCCAGGTGTATGTTTTCATACATCTGGAGGTTACATTTGTCTTGGTGGGCTTTAATATGTGGGATAAATAACTGGGCACATAAAAGACCGTAAAGTAGAATTCACACTTGTCTTGTAGTGCATGCCAAAAATGATGCTCAAAGTATTTTTTGCGAAGATTAAGTCACCAAAAAATTACAGTAAATCATGGGAGCAGAGTTGATCATTAGAAAATACAGTTTGAAAGAAGGTGCAACATCTGGGGAGGGTAGCATGTCTCCATAATGCCTCTTCACGTATACTGTTTCTCCTTCTTAACTGTGAATGTTTGCTTCCAAGCAGTATTAGTTATGGTCTCTTTGAGCTCAGAAGGCCCATGAAGTTAGCATGGCCCAGGTATGCCAACTTCTGTAGTTGGGCAACATGCAAGGGAGTGATTTTCAGCTTTCTGGAGGGAGGAATGAGGAGAGTACCTAAGGTGTCTTGCTGTGGCTGCAGAAGCATGAGTTTCAGCTGGGTGAAGCCAGAGAAGTCAAGAAAAGCTTGGCAGTGGCACCATCTCGGACTGGAAGGAACTGGTGCAGCAGGAGATTGCTGGGAATATACCATTGGTTTCAGCATGGGATCGCTATCAGAAAGCACCTTCCAAATTTATTCAATGGTAGAGTAATAAGTATGGTTTCATGTCGCCAGGAGTCCAGACAGTAAGAAGTGTCAAGCCAAGCCAGGTATTGCAACTGAGACTCATCTCATGTCACCAGATTTTCAGGGTCCTCTCATTTCTTTCCTCCTCTCTTGTATTCACGTCCCCACATGAATCAGATACTTGCTGGTAATTCACGTTGTCAGCATTTTTCCTTTTCCCCTGGAATTTGTCATTGCTAGGATATTTGGCACCAGGATCTTGGAGGCTGCTTCCTTCTGGAAGCCTTTTCAGGGATGTCTGGCCACCTGCTGCACGCTGTGCGGGATCTATTCACCTCATTATGAGGGAGCACATCTGTATTGCCCTGTCAGCTTAAGAACGTGGCATACGTTTTCTTTTCCTTTGGATAATACAAAACAGGAAGAATGTGACAATGGGGAAACAGCGCATCTCAAAGCTTAATGGACAGGGTAGATAAAGCTAGCATATTACGTGGTTCTAGTAATTAAAAATGCAGAAGGTGAATGTCTGGGTCACAAGATCGTGAGTCTGAAACATAACTAATGAAACTGATTGTAAGAGCAAATTAGATGTATTCCCTCTACCTGTCCAGCTGGTGCATGCATTCTGGAAGCCAAAATATGGATGAGGCCTGCAGGGTTAGAGAATATTTTCTCTCTTTAATTCTTGGCTGGGATAATACTCACAAAGCTCTATTCTTTTTAAAATTCTATATATCCTGGGCTGTGCTCTGTGTTGTATTTTCTATATGTGTTAGTCTTCCGTATTTCAGAGGAACCTATTTTAATCCTGAAGCTTCAAACAGCGTTCCAGCCCTAAAGCTCTTTCCCCCTCGTGTCTAGTCTTAAAAACCAGCCCCGAAGGATGGTTGTGGGATTTTCATTTGTTTTACTTGGATCTGTGAATTGAGTGGCACAGACAGCGAACACACTTAGCAGAGTATAATTATGGGAAGACGACAATGCTGCGAATGGAAATAGTAAAGAAGCTGTCCGTCCTGGGAAGAGGAGTAGGAGAGGATGCTGAACTACCTCATAATCCACAAGCAAAACAAATCAAATGCAGACCGATAAACAGAATTGTAGATGCATTATACAGAAAAACCTTCATAAGTGTAAGTCTTGTGTTTTTCTTGGTGCCTCATAAACACAGACCTTCACTTTTCTTACAAATACAGTACCTCTCTATTTAATGTCCGTTTTCCTGATTTGCAGAGGGATGGCGCAAGCCCCAGGCTTGTGAAAAATAGGGGGCATGTGAAATGTAAGCAGTACCAAAATGTTGGCCTTGCTGTGTATATAGGAGCAGATTTCCCCTGAATTAAAAAAGACCGACTTATTTCAGAGAGGTTTTCCTGAAGTCACTGTGGGATTCTGCTACACGAAGGCCTCGCTGGCGAAGCCTAGAGATTGTATTGTTAATTTCTGCCCATAATTTATGGGCGAAAACTGAAAAAGTACAGGCTATAATCTAATATTTCTATAAGCCAGGCAGTAGAGTAGATGCATTAATCCAATCCAGGATTGTGATAGCAGACTCGCTCCTGTATATGGTCTGCTGCAGCAGACGTCTTTGGAATTATCTGCTGAAGGTTGCTATGGCGAAGATGACTCAGCTGTAAATTAGTGCTGCTTTTGCAAGAGCAGAAAACAATATAAAACCTTTTCGCGGCCCAAAGAAATTACATTGAAAATGACTTCATAGCAGACCAAAAATACTAATGAACATGGCACACGAATTTGAGGTCTGTTAGCTTGGATTCGTCTGCTTTACAGATTCAAGGAAATAGAGTTAGAGTTTATGAGTTTTGTTTCAAATTAAAGAAAATGGGCAAACTGGATTCTTCCCCCAGCTCCCATGAAAGATGTGCAGTCGGAAATTTCAGACGCAAGCCATGCGAACGTGGATGCCTAGATTTGGCCACTGGTCTTTCAGAGTCATTCCGCTTTCACAACCCTGTCAATACAGATGGTTGTGGAAATGCGATTCCTTTAGGAGTAATGTGCCTAAGTGTTGGGCGGCATGACAGAAATATAGAAGGCAGAAAAACAGGTGGAGGCTGCAAAAACACCCAGTGTGTTAGCTGCCGGGTTTCGGCGACTGGAACTTGTATTTTTGTGCGATAGAAGCAGGCTTCTTGCTGGAATTTCAGTCTTTGCAAAGTGTCTGGTTTAAATACATTGGTTTGTATTTGAGACAACAGAGCATTGGGGGGTGCATGTTGGTCTCTGTGTAATATTTGTGATATTAAACGTGGAGAGAGGTCAGTATTTTCGAGTGTCCATGTCTAGAATTACCGGTAGGTATTCGGGTCCATATGCAAGCATCCATATACATATTTTAAGGTGGGCAGTACCCCCGCTGAAGTCAATATGAGCTGTGTATGTTCTTTGTTAGGAAAAGTCCGGTTGTTTGGTTAGGTAACTAAATGTGGAAGTTGACTTTCTGACTATGGTGGTATATTTCTACCTCCAATAGCCAGTTGGGGTGAATAACTGGTTGGTGTCACAGTGCAAGTTGAAATAACGACTTCTGTGTGGTCTGATCATGCTGCTGTTCATTTGTTCCACTATCGATACCCTGAGTTCTTAAGGTTTGGATCCCTGCATGCCTTGGTTATTAGATCAAAAATAACACGAGGGCATTATGTCCTGAAATGAAGAAAAGGTAACGTTGTTGCCCTGTAGTCATATAAATTATACCAGTTGTTTTGCTGGAATTAGTGTTTGGAAGAAAGAGCCTCCATTTGCATTGTAAATCTTTTTTGGAAATGCTGTTTTCTTGTGCTATCAATAGTGAACGTGTCTAGATAAGACAGAAGGGAAAGCAGTGGCCCAAGACAGGCATCTTTCATGGGGCAAAAAGAGTAGTGTATCTGTAGTCCTTTTCTGCATAGATCTTGCTCTGTAGTGCTTTCAAGGTTAATGCTGTGTGCAGTTATTTAAAAATTATCTGTCCAGACTTTCAGACGTACTTGGCACCCAGTAGTTTCTATAGGGCGCAATAGGGACTGCCTCCTGCTGGGCACTTTTGAAAATTGGTTGCTGTTAACCTTAACTTGCAATTTCCAATTGGAGTTGAATTGCTAGTTGAGGCCTGACCTCCCCTTTTCCATGGGCTCTGCTCATTTGTAGGTGCCTCTTTCGTCCTCGTAGGAAACAGTTATTTGCATTGCATGCATGCATGCACTTCTTTGAGCATATTTTCAGAGCCACAGAAAACCGATTTGCTGACTTCAGGTCACTGTATACAGAACAGTTATCTGTATGTGCTTTTTAGTGTCCAGTAAAATTAGGTGTAACGTGTACCTATGGTCAGAACGTAATTCTTTCTCTAAGTATATAAATGTACAGGACCAGATTCATTCCAGGTACTGAATTCAGGGATGAATATGGTCCTAAAAAAACTATACCAGATTGCTTCCTGAACTCAGAGCACCCTTTTAAAGAAAGAAAAGAAAATAGCATTATACAGTGTGTTCCTACGTTGGAGAGATCTTCCTAAGGACTGGTGGTCTTGGTGCATTATCGGTTACTTTACTGCATAGATTCATAGATATTAGGGTCGGGAGGGACCTCAGCAGATCATTGAGTCTGACCCCCCGCTCCGGGCAGGGAAGAGCGCTTTCCTGCCCGGGGCGTGCTTCCCTGCTTAATACCTTTTGTACCTGT